ATGTAAAATTAGAAAAAAAAAAATAATAATAATATTTTATTCTATTTTGTAAATTTAGCTTATGCTTTCATGTGAAGGTACTCGATTTACTGAAAAAAAACGATTAGCAAGTATGAAAATTGCACGAGAAAAAGGTTTACCAGAACTTAAACATCATCTTCTACCACGTACAAAAGGTTTTACATTATTAATACAAGGAGCAGAAAATCGAAGTAAGTTTTTTTATAAGAAATTTGAATTCAGATATGAGATAGACTTTTTATTTTTAGAACAAATGAAGAATTTAATCATTTTTCATTTTTTTTTCAGAATTATAAATTAAAAAAAAAAAAAATTTTTGTTATCTTAATCCATTCGCGGCGGGTGTCCCATTTTCAGTATATGCTCCGTATGAATATGCTTCCAAGTACAATTTGATAACAGTATCTCAGGAGGATGTGGGTGTGAGTCTTTATTACTACATCCACACCCATTTCTTATTAAAAAAAACCCCGCCGCGAATGGATTAAAGTAATCTATCTAGAAGCATAATCAATGGAATAAGAATAGATATTGAAAATTTAATTTAATTTTTTTTTAAAAGTAGAAAAAAATTGTTGTGAAATTCTCTTTATCACTATTATTTTAATATTAATTGTATAATTAAACGTAAATTATTTTGAAAGTTATCTTTATTTTTTTCTTTATTCAGTTCAATCAGTATATGACATAACACTTGGTTTTAAAAAGACTGAAGCCGAACCAACACTTCTTAGTATATTAAAAGGACATTCTTGTCAAGCAGAACTATTTATTAGGTGAATTTGATTTCTTATTATTTCAACATTATTGATAGTTTTTCTTTCTTTTTTTTATTTAGACGTTTTCCAATATCTGATATACCAACTGATACTGAAGGATCTAGTAATTGGATTCATGAATTATATCGTCAAAAAGATAAAATATATGATTATTTTGTTCAACATGGTACTTTTGAAGGAAATGGTTTACCTCGAACTGAAATTTCATATAATTATTATGATTTATTAATTGAACTTGGATGGATGATTATTATTGGTATACCATCAATTATTTATTTGTTTCAATTTCTTTCAACAAGTTCATTATTTGCTCAAGTAATATTTGTTATTATTATATGTATTGGTAAGAATTGTTTTTTTATTTTTTTTAAATTAAGTTCATAATTGAATTTTTTCGTTTTTAGGAACTATTGGTGCACGAACAATGATTGCCGTAACAGAAACTGAACGAGGTTCTCATTATGGTGAAACAAGCAAAGAGGATTAATTTTATATATATTTTATAACATTATTCGTTTTTTTTTTTTTTTATTATCGTTCGATGTGATATTTCATAATAAAATTGAATAGGTGGCCGTTTAAAAATAACTATTGCTTCTTGCTTTGTTAGTTTTTTTGTTTTTTTTGAAGAATATAGTTAAATTTTCTACAATTGTTATTCAATCATACTATATACAATATCAAGTTTTAAATTTTGTGTTTTTTTTTTGTAGAATTATATTGAAGGTATTTATTTATTGGTTCCGTTCAAACTTAAACACAACTAGTCTTTGAATTTTTTCGGGGGACAAAAACAAATCATAAGTATTTTTATATATAGTAAACCAAAAAAAAACTTATGACCTAAATGTTTTTCGAATTTTCATCGAAATAAATATTTCTGTTTCAAAAAAAACTGTGCACATCTATAATCATCATAATATAGGTATTGCTCGTCATTTTTAGTTAATAGAGAATAGTCGTCTAACTGTTAATAAAATTATCGATTTATACTACTGGTACGAAAATGATTCCTAAATTTTTTTTGACTAACAATTTGAACGAAATTGTTGTCCGAGTATTTTATAATAAACAGCTTGTATCAATAATATTCAACACTGTATCTATAGCCTATATAGATATATTGATAAATAACTGCTCGATATGATATACTCAAATATTAGTGAGTTTAAACGACAAGTTCAAAATGTAGGAACTATTTTCATTCTACTAACGCTAATCAATAATGCCATCAATGGTTTGATTATTTACTTTGTTCATTTTTTTGGTCTACTCTTTCATGTACATCATTGACGCTATTCCTTTATGTTGTTTGTGATCTAATCTTTTTCTCGTACAGTACTTTGATATACAATATTTATTATTGTTTCTTTTTGCTCTTTTTATTTCGTGTAGATAAGAAAAAAAGTAAAATGGCTTGTTCTCTATATGTGTATCTAATGAGGATCTAAATTTGTTTGTTCGAATATTATATTGTTATATTTATTAATCGTATGACTAATAAACAATTTTAAAAATTGGTTTTGAAGAGTGTAGCTAAAAAAAACTTAAACTAGTAAATTTTTTTCTTGGAAAAATAAGAATCTATTGTGAAGAAAGCAAAGAAGTGTGTACGTACAATATGAAAGACATTAATGGTTGAATGCCTGAAAAAAAAAATTCGACTAACTTCATTGACAAAAATATGCTCGACTATATCATTGAAGAAAATGATATGAACTAGTCGAGTTTTCATATGTTCCACGTTTCGACATGTAACTAAATCTTTCATTTTTTTTTAAGTATTCCTCTAGATACATTAAGGTTCTTCAAGTGTTGTGTACAATTCTGCATTTATCATTAGACAACTGCATAATCTTGAGCATTATTCTGCAAAGAAAATAATTTGCTTCGAATGCATCCGTTCACCATTGCTGATAGAAGACAAAATATGGTCTCTCATTAGAAATGCATACATATTAACAAAGCATCACAAGATTGGTGTATGCGTTCCAAATTTCAGCCACATTAGGGACTGTATTGAGAAGCTTTTTTGAATTAAGTTTTTGCTCAAAGGGAGATTTTTCTGTATATTCATAATATGTATTTAATTATCAATGTCATGTAAGATTCTGTATGTATGATAGACAGATGACGGTCACTAAAAGAAAACATGTTTATATATACGAGTGAATTGTGACACGAAATAAAGATACATTCATCATCGAGAATTATACGATAGCTAATACGTCATTTTCAGCTCTTATGGATTTGAACAGAAACAGTTTTCCATCATAGCGCATTGTCCTATAGCTTTCTAATACATAGCTAGTAAACATTTGAAACCAACTGTTAAAATCATTTCTTGCGAATAATATTTTTCATCGAATAGTGATACGTATAGACACATCATAGCATTATTATTCTGCTTGCTACTGATGATCAATAGAGTATCTAGGATTTTGATGATCAGAATTGATTCGATTGGGATAGATGGAGTCATCTTGTTAACGAAATTGTGACACAATAAAAGTTTGAACATTATCTCGTAAGGATTCGGAGTGTTGTTAAAGATAATGAATATGTGCTTTCTGATAACATTGAAACTCAGAACATCTAAAATCTGTTGAACTTTAATCATTTTTTTTTACAATTATGAGAAATAATTACATATTTCTTATGTTCTCTTTCCTTTCTATTTGCATCGTTTTCTTTACATATTTTAAATCAGCTGTACTCGAAGTACAACAAGATTTTCAAACGCATACAGACACTGATATTGAATACAAAAAAAATTTCAGCATTCTTAATATTTCCGATCGATTAGAACGAAAAAACAAAGATTGACTTATGTTTAGTCACATGTTCACACACCTGTTAATTATATGTAAACTAGTGTAACAACGAAGAGAAAAAAATTTTACGCCACACCAATATATAAAGTGAAGAAGTCATATTTTGTCAGTTCTTAGCAATCATAATATTGTGCATTTCCTTTGAAATTTATAGCAACAATTAGTCAGCGAAAAATACAATCTTTTATACTGTACAGATTATAGTCTTGTTAATATTCCTGTCACTGTACTCGAATCGCTATTCTTTTCATATATCGACCAACACTGATGCTTTACCTCTAGATAAAAATTAATTACAAAGTTAAAAGAATGTTTTGATTGAAGTCAATAGTTGATAACTGATTCTCACAGTTTCACGAAAATATTTGTGAAATAGAATTAATTTCTAGTCTAACGAGGGAACCTTTTCAACTGT